AAATGTGCTGATCTTTGATTAGCACCAGGCATATGTCTCATCAAAATATGGTGTGTCAGTCAGGGGCAAGCTTATCATGATCAAGTGTCAACACAGGTGATTTTACTATGGACAGACTTCCGAATTCCCTGAGGTAAAGAGCAGGTACACTTTCATTTGTCTGACCAAACAAAATTTTTAGGTGTATACAAGTTTCTGTTTCTCTTCCTTCTCTTTATTCTGATTGCTCATTTTTATACTGATAAGTTTAAACAACTTTGGCACCAACAGCCACTGTTTAGCTACACATGTCTGCTTTGCAACTCAGTAACCTACTCCATATGTATCTATAATCTCTACTGAAAGGGAAGGTGAAAAGAAGACTGTTCCAGCAAGTTAAGGGCAAATTCTTTTAAGTCTTCTCTTTACCATCTATGCCATCTATGTCTCCATGCTACCACCTTTTTGTTACACGTATCTATTTATATTTACATCTTTGCATTTATTGCTCACTCTAAATTCTTATGAAATACCACAAGTGAATCCAAAATAAAAAGACCAATATTCATTTAAAATCAAATCCACCAGTTCTACATTGTTGCTCATTGTTCTTCTTCCAAAGGCAGGTATATAATTATAGCTACTTTGGTGCATGAAATGGTACAGAGATTTCTATGGTAATTACTCATTTTAATGGAAAATTGTGTAGGAAAAAACACATTTCATGTGAAGCATGACATTTGCATTTCTTTCTAAAGAATCTGAACTTGTTCAGAGTGAGCTGTAAACTCGTATTTTCCAGGAAGACAAATCTTTAAAATTCTGTCCAAGGGGTACGGTGGGAAACTGAGAACAGTTGCAGGAATTTGCTGAGCTCATTAAAAAATAAGACCATTAAACATTTACAATGGATACACAACATCCTTGAAGCTACAAGTTAGACAAAGCAGAAAAAAATACTTACAAGAAATATCAACAAAGAAACAACATGCTGAATAAGAGGGGCCATCATTGACACCAAATCCACAAGATCAAACATTTGTATTTCCAAGTACTTTAGCTAGCATAAGTTGAAATAATACATTTAATACATTTTAGAGTCCGAAAATCAGACTTGGGGAGAAGCTACTGTTTTATCTTGCTTTGCTTAAAAAATAAAGTTATAACTTCTTTTCCTATAGCAGACATGATACGTATGTTCTTTTTCAGGATATCCACACCAATTTTTGTCAGGAGGAATACATTTAAATCCTTAAAAACATTTAAATGAAGAGAAAATCTGTGAAACTGAATGAGTTTGCACAATTCTTTCTGCTGCTGGACATCCATTTTCTTATATTCCAGTATCATGTTCATCTGAGCAAAAGAGTTTACACAGGTTTTTTTTTGTTTGTTTGTTTGTTTTTTGCTAAGGTAATCTTCAGTATAATAATTAATATGAGAAGCAAACTAGGATTTGGGGAACAAAAAAGGCCTTTTAATTGTTGCTCTGGCCTAACATAACTTTTCCTAAGATGTGTCCTAGAAAAGCAACAAAAGCAGAAGATAAAGAAAACATTGCGTTTCTTCTCCCTACAGGCTGCTCAATTCCCATCACCACAATGAATCAAGCACATTTTAAGCCTGTACTTAGAACAAATCACATACTTCAGGTGGTGAGGACCAGGAAATAACCACTGAATCAGTTTCATATGTAGTATATTTTCTGAAAGAAGACTCTACTCATAATTTATTATTATTATTTCAAGATTGCATAGGCTAAGGGAGAAAATGTCTCAAGTTACACATATAGTCTCTGACTCTTTCATAAATATTAAATAAGTATTATTTATGCTGAAAAGGTAGGGGAGGAGGTGTTTCTTTCCAACAAAACATCCTCCTAACCAAACAAAATCTGTGCTTTAAAACATGCCTGCATGGCAGTACAAGAGGCAAAAGAATAAGTTAGGATGCAGCTTTTGGCATTAGTGTACTTGGCACTTCCATGTGTAGAATATGTAAAACAGGAAAAGAAAGAATATGACTTTTAACTTTGAAGTCAATGATTGCATCACAGTTCAGAACACAAAATTACACGATGATGACTTCAACAGTATGTGTAATCTGTTTTTAATAAAGTGGAGACTAACAGTAAATTCCTTGTCAAAAGGCACAGGGACTTGGAAGCAAACTTTCCCTCTCTCTAAACAGAGGACTCTGCTGGCATATAGTTAGCTTTGTTTTCATCAGAAAATGTTTTGCAAGATAGGGAAAGCAATTTGTACGACAAGAAGTATGAATATCCCATCCAAAACAATCTAGCACTGGAGAGCTTTTCACTACAATTTCCTCTATTTTTGGAACCTATTTTGCCATGTCTTGACAGCTGTTAACTTCCTCTTCTACTGCTGTAGTTGGGACTTCTTTTTGAAGTCCTTCCTTTACCTGAATTCCTGCATTGTACTACAAGATTCACAATTGTTAAAGTCCAGAGCAATCAAAATAATTTTAATCTGATTTATTTTATGCTTTCTTGTAAGAAAACAACTTATGCTTTCTCAAAAGAAAATAACTTATTAGAAGGTTGTAAAATTAAAGGCATGTGATTCTGATTTTGTTCAGACTATAGTAATATCTCTAATGGATATACATGGAGCTCCTCTAATGTTCTTTTTAGGTTTTCTATACAGAACTTAACCCAGCATCCTCAGGCTCCTACTCAAAAGTTTTCATGAATTTTCAGCTTGAGAAACACAGCAATTAAATAGCAGTTCTCTTAGTGCTGAAGGGAGAAGTAAGACCTTTAGTTTTGGTTAACCCTACGAGACAGGTTTGAAAAGACTCTAGCTGAGGCACTGCTTTCAATAAATTAAATGTAATGACTGGATCTAGCAGAAAGCTGCTTTTATAGCCAATGTATGCCTGACTGAGACAAGTAGATAAAGCAAAAAAGAACAAGAAAGTTTTTACAGTTGCATTTGCCACCATTTACTGACAAAATCAAGGTTTTAGAGCTGTAAATATTTCTCATAATCTTGTATCAATAAAGCAAGTATCACTATGTAAAGGAAATATCTTTCTTATACGCAAAGAACAGATACAAATGCACACTCAATAAAAATACCAATGAGAAGTTCAATTCTCATTTTCAGAAATGACAGGAAGTTTTCTTTATGAGACTTGGATGTACTTCTCAGTGCTCTATGTATATCCAAGTTTGGAGAAGTCACATCAAGATTTGAAAGCTTTTCCTATGTGTGAAGGACTAAACAACTGCTATTGAAGGACCCAGACTTGATCATGTTAGACCTTCTCCCGTCTCATAGATGTTCAGCAGACCCTCTACAAACAAATGATTTGAATCCTAGCATATTCCTCAACATCTTGAGACAAGTTCATTATACAGTACAGCCTTTTAGATTTACACACTTCAGCTCCTCACATTTCCAGTGGGCTACACAGATCGTGACTATGTACTTCATATTACTGCTTGCCATTCAAATTCTGCTGCTTTAATTCATTGTATTAAAAAGTAACACAAGCTTCAATTATTCTTTGTATAATTAGAGATCCAGCTAAAGTATACAGAAAATTAAATTTGTATCAAAATGCCTACACAGTTAAAACTAAACTGTTTGCATTTCTCTTCCATCTTTCTCCACATCCTTTAAAATGCCACTTAGTTATAAAAGATATAGATTTTTCAAGTGTTGGTGTGCTCTACCAATAAGCAAGTTCTCTCAGTTCTTAGTTTTGCAGACATTGTTAACTAAGTCCAAATCACTAACAATTGAAGAAAAAATAAAGTTCTCAATTTAAGTAAAGGTTATAGGATTAGACTTATGGCACTCAAGTTCGCACCTTATAAGCCTTTCACCTTCAAGTCTACATTCAAAGGGTACTTATGATTTCAAACAAATTGCAAATCAGATGATTACACGCTACAGGAAATTAGATAAAAGAGAAAGGAACCACTTCAACACTGTAAAGAGATTCTATTCAGCTATTATATTAATAGCAAAAATCCATATTTTGATTGCAGCTTCTGCAGGTATAAAATGACAGGTTTTAGACTCTGCTTTCATTCAAACACATAGATCCACACAGCATTTTAAGTCCTGCAGTGTGTTGTAAAGTGTTACAATTATTTAGCAAGGCATTTGGACAGCTTTTCTTTAAACAGATAACTAACTTTAAACAGATAACTAACTGCACTTCTCATGGCATGTTCAAGAATACATAGTACCTTTCAGAACAAACTCAAGGAGAGAATAAAGTATAAAATACTGTTCAACTGTTGGATGTCCATATCATTAAGATTTACACCAAATTTTTTGCATTTTTGAAGCCAAGTGATGCTTCTATTACTTGTAATTTTTGTTTAAATATCTTCATGGTATCTAATGTTATCTTTAGGCTGACATTCTTTTATGTAAAATAGAATGCTTCACATTTTCAGGTAAGGACAAACATCTTAGAAATATATTGCATTATAGTGATAATATCCTTCTTTTTCTAAGGTATGAACACTTTCTGGTTCTTTTTCTTAAGTTAACTAAGATTAAAATATTATGCGTGTCATATTTGGGAAAGAGTACACAGAATAAAAATGGACTAACACTAACAACAAAACAAAGCTCCAGTACACCTGAATCAGGTGATTTTACGTATACATAGGTATGCATGCAAATATATACATGCAGACAAAATAATAAAATCAAGTTAAAGTTAAAATTCTTTCCTTGCCAGTCTTATAATACTCTTTAAAGATATTTTGTAACAAAGTTTTCCAAATCAGATTGCACTAAGAATTTCATATATTATCTTCCCTTAATAACAACATAATATTTTGTACAAAAGGAAGAAATACAATGAAACATGTTTACCCATGAGAAAAACAGATTAAATAACATATTATTTCATAATTACAGCTGAAAGCACATATTCCTAGAACATATTCCTATTCTTACAACATTACATTACAATTGCAATTCTGTCTTAGAAAAAATGCTGCAGAACCATGAGTTCTGGAAATAATTTACCTTTCTTGTCGTCGAAGTACAGTGTCTGTTGAGCTGGATTTGACCACTGGAGGGAGGTGTTATCGTTTTGATCGACCCTGCAGGTCAAATTTGCCGTTCCCCCTTCAACAACTGTGACATTCTGTGTAAGCGGAAACTGCCCTTGGCTACCTGAGGAGGGATGGGAGGGAAGTAGAAGGGAAGAAAAGGAGGAAAAAAAAGATTTCAGTTGTAGAACTGAATTTATTGCAACAGCTACACACAGGTGACCGTGTAACTATATTCATCAAGAAGTATAATACAAAAAACTGGAGAAAAAAATAGATAATATATTCTCTGCAGAAATAAAACAGAAAAATGAATTTAAGCAATACTGATATTATTTTTCTTTTTTTCCTGTATGTGATATGATTTAGCTTCAAAGAAGTAGCCTGCAATCTTCATTTTCTAAGACACACATACAAATCCAGATGTCCATGATATGAATCCACATAGGGCTCACATATTGCAGACGCATACAGATGTCTCAGTAGAGATAATACTGTTAAAATGCTCCTGAAAACACCACTAAAAACATAATGTAAAATCAACATATCTCTTTTTAAACAGACAGGGTAGCCTAGATTCCCTGTTTCATTTTATGATTTTTGAAGAACTCTTGGGATGATGTTTTTTTCCGTCAAGTTTGGAATATTGTTGGATAAAAACATAGTGTGAATATAATACCAGATACATCCTCTGCTGAGAGAATATAACCTGATCATATATGAAAATGGAAGCAATGATGTAGTAGGTCTCTTTCACATCTGCGAGTCTATCCCAAAGCATTACAAATCACATTAAGTGTTTGCTGAGAAGTCACTGGGAAAATTTCCAAATACCTCTATACAATATAGGAACAGTATCAGCCAGGTTCTTGAATCACAAGCATTTTCAATGGCATAGTTAGACTGAAATGTTGCTTTGTGTATTGCAAAAATAGCACCCCTTGCCAAACAGTACATTCTGACAAGAATAGCACAAGGGAGCACAGTAAAAATGTGGGACATCTTTTTTCTTTTTCATAGGGATGGGGAAAGAAAAGAAAATTATCAGAGAGGTATGCTTAATCAGTGCAAGGATACAATGAAAAAAATAGACAGTCCAATAGACTAAATCAAATACATGCTTCTTTCTTTTATACAGGACCTAATAACACAAGACATGCTCATGTTAGCTAACTATGCTAGAATAAGAAATATTACAAGATCGGCACTCAAGTGGAATGCATCAGAAGTGAAAAATCCCCTTACTGTCCTAGAGGAGTGAATATAAACATAAGTATGTTGAAAAAACTATTGTGCCTATTGTATAATAGGTACAATAACACATAAAACTATTATCTAGTATACAGATTTTCAGATCATTTTACAGATTTTTCAGACCATAGTAAGGAATCACTAAATAAGGGATTAACTACTACTTGACCTGCTGATGTTGCAATAAATAAATAAATAAATAAATAAATAAAAATGCAGCTCTAGTAAGGTTTTGATAACTGTTCATTTTCCTATACAAAATAATTTTGTTGGCCTTATACCTGGTGTGTAAGTACCGACACCATAAAAGCTCGGAGTATTCTGATAATCCAACACCCTTCATATGTAGTTTCTTTAAAAAAAAAAAAAAAAAAAAAAAAAAAAAAAAAAAAACTCTTCTACTACTGAAGTGCTTATAATCTAAATAAATAAATAAGATAAATCATCAGCAGTGCTAAGAAAGGGAATTTGAATCTCAAGGCCAGCTTTGGCTGCAGCAACCATGAAATGGAGAATTTCAAGATCCTTAGACCAGTGAGGATGACATACAGCAAGCTCACTACCCTAGACTTCAGGAGAGCTGACTTCAGCCTCTTCAGGGATCTGCTTGATAGTGTTAAATGAGATAAAGTCCTTGAGGGAAAAATGGTCCAAGAAGGCTGAGTAATATTCATGGGTCATCTCCTCCAAGCTCAAGAGCAATGCATCCCAACAAAGAGGAAGTTATGCGAAAACACTGTAAGACCTGTATCAATGAACAAGGAGCTTCTAAACAAACTGAAATACAAAAAGAAAGCCTACAGAGTTTGGAAGCAAGGACAGGTAGCCTGGGAGAAATACAGAGAAATAGTCTGAGCAGCCTGTGATCAGGTTAGAAAAGCTAAAGCCCTGATTGATAGAATAAAATCTCATCAGAGACATCAAGGGCAACAAAAAAAAGGCTTCTGTAAGTACATCAGTGAAAAAAGGAAAGAGTGGGCCCTCTCTGTGAGACCTGGTTAGTTGGGATATGAAGAAAGCTTTTGAAGGATTTTGAAGGATTTTTTGCCTGTCTTCACCACTAAGTGTCCTAGCCACATCACCCAAGTTGCAGATGGCAAAATCTGGGACTGGGACAATGAAGAACTGTCCACTACAGAAGATCAGGTTCAAGGCCAAGAAACCTGAAGGCGCATATGTTTGTGAGACCTGATGAGATGAATCCAGTCTGTCTCATCTCAGTAGATCCTCCTGGAAACGATGCTAGGAGAATATTGGTGAAAACCAATATGGTTTCACTAAAGGCAAATTGCTCCTGACAAGTCTGGTGATGTTCTATGATGAGCTTACAAAATTGGTGGATAAGGGAAGAGTAATTGACATCATCTACTTGGCCTTGTAGAAAGCATTTCACCCTGTCCCACAAAACATCCTTATCTGTAAACTAGAGAAACATGGACTTGATGGATGGACTACTTGATGGATAGGGAATTAGCTGGATGGTCACACATAAAGCACTGAGCTCAACAGCTCGAAGTCCAGGTGGAGACCAGTAACAGAGTATTGGAACAGATGCTATTTTATATCTTCACTGATGACATGGATGACTGGATTAAGTGCAACCTCGTCAAATTTCCACACCAAGCTGCTGGAGGGAATGGAAGCCTTTCAGAGGGACTTATACAGAGGTGGGTCTTCATGTACCTCATGAAGTTCAACAAGATCAAGTGTAAGGTCCTGCCCTGGAGTTGGGGCAATCCCAGGCACAAATATAGGCTGGGTAATGAGTGGATTGAGAGCAGCTCTGAGGACTTGGGGGTGCTGGTTGCTAGAAATCTCGCCACGAACCAGTAATCTGCACATGCAGCTCAGAAAGCCATCTGTATCCCAAACTGCTCTAAAAGAAGCTTGTCTAGCTGGTCACAGAAATTGATTGTCCACATCTACTATGCTCTCGTGAGACCCCACCTACCTATGGTACTGAGATTAGCTCTGGGACCTCCAACATAAGAAGGACATTGGATCTGTTGGATCTGTTGAGGAAAGTCTAGAGCAGGGCCATGAGGATGATCAGAGGGCTAAGGTACCTCCGCTACAAAGTCAGGCTGAGAGAGCTGGGATTATTCAAGCTGGAGAAGAGAAGGCTTTGGGGAGACTTTATAGCAACCTTCGAGTATCCATAGGAAAGAAAGAGAAACTTTATACAAGGACATGAATAGAACAGGACATTAGTACATTATTACAACTTGTGGCCATTTCCCTGGGTCCTGTTTGTTGCCTGGGAGAAGAGGCCAAACCCCTCCTCCTCATAACCTCCCTTCAGGTAGTTATAGAGAGCAATGAGGTCTCCCCTGAGCCTCCTCTTCTCCAGACTGAACAATCCCAGCTCCCTCACACACTCCTCATAAGATTTGTGCTCCAGACCCCTCACCAGTTTTGTTGCCCTTCTCTGGACCGCTCCAGGGTGTTTTGTATAAATACCATCTTCCTGTAGATGTCTAAAGTGCAAAATTTACTATTTACTTATGTTCTTGGTAAGAGGGTATTTACTATTAGCAAGACAACAAATGCAGTAAATAAAAATATGAAGTACTGCAAATACCATGTCTATATTAAATACTGCGAAAAATAAATGCGAAAATTCTCATGACATCTTCTGTGTCTGACACTTCATTAATCAAATGCTTCTTCTTGAAAACCACACACTGAGAAATGCTTGATGAGTTAAAAAATCATAAACAAGAGTGAAAAAAAAAAAAAAAAACAAAACAGAAGAGATTTGTCATTTTCTTTCATTTCTTCTCTTTCAACTCCACTGTGTCAAGGAATCTCAAGATATTGCATAAATTGCTTATTGCTTAAATTAGAATTTTAAAAATCCAGAAAAAATGCACACAGCCTGTTATTTCTTCCACTAAATTATAAGATCTTACCAAAGAAATAACCTTCTAAAGTATGAGCTGCAGATAAGAGGCTATGGAGGCTAAAATAGGTTTTGCATATAAAAAGCATTAAACAGAGCCTAGTGCCAATGAAATCTGAATCAGTGACTTTGATTTACATTTGACTATCGTCTGTTCATATTTTTTAATAAAGAACCAATGTAATGATTCAGAACCCTATTCATATGATTTGGGAAATCTTCCTAGGATTATCCCACATTCTTTTTTGATATTATAGTTCCTACAGTGAACATCTCAACGTGTATGCAATCTCTTATTTACTAATTATGGTCATGTCATAGCCTTATTGATCAGAACTGTACTTAGAATGTAAAATGCTGCTTGGCCACGTAAGTGGAAACTGCAGGTCCCTGGATCTGAAAGAGGTCTGGAAATTTTTTTTCCTCTTACCCCTGTATTGAGTGCTGATGTTTTAGAAATTAATCAAATAAAATTAACAGAGCATACAAAAGTCAAAGGAAAGAATTCCCCCTATCCCTTATCAATACAGAAAATGCATATAGTTTGATTGGAAGCCTGCAGTGAAATAAGAGATATAAAGAAAATGAGCCAATAATTTTGGAAATTAGCTTAAGAGGAAGAAAGGAAGACTGTATGCAAGATAGAAAAATAGAAAAAGCAAGAGCAAAAGAATGAGTACATATCTTAAACAAGAACAAAACTTCTAGTAAATTATGGAAAACTAAGACAAAAAACATTTAGATTAACTTTTTTGCTTATACCAGCTTCTCACTTGAGTTACTGAAGGACATCTGAGACAAGAGAAAAGGTTTATAAAAGCCCAGAAGCAGATAAATAAATGCTATAGAAAGCATGAGGCCATTTAAAATAGTATTAAATGTGGCTTTTATGCCACTGAGCTCTGGTCCTTGTAGGAGAAGTCTCATTTCTGTTAAGCAGGTAGTATGTGCTCACAAAGCACAGAAGAGAA